AGATTACCTAGGAAGAGCATATAGACAGAGAAGTAGACCCACAATGCAGGGTTGTGGGTTGGCTAAGGAGACTGAGAAGAAGTTGCTGGTGATGCTGGTGAAACCTGGAAAGTAAAATGAAGGGAGAGGGAGAGGGAGGGGAGGGAAAGAGGGAGGGAGAGAGGGAGAATAAACATTAAAAGAAATCAGGTAAATAAGAACACAGTGATGATCATCTATTGTAGTCATTGGCAGTTTTGACAAGCATAGTCCCTAAGGAGTGCTGCTGCTGAAGATGGATTAGAAGGAGGAGGGCAAGTGGAAGTGAGAGTTAGACTGTGACTCCCCCCAGCCCAGCACTAGGTGCTATGGGGAAGGGCATTCCAAGATGTCGTCTTCTTATTTCTTTAGCCAAGAAACAACTTTTTCTATTTACAGAAGCAAAGTTGACTTTTTTTTTTTTTTTGAGTTGGAGTCTCATTCTGTCGCCCAGACTGGAGTGCAGTGGCCGCTCCCGGCCACCGCAGCCTCAACCTGCCGGGCTCCGGCGATCCTTCCACCTCAGCCTTCCAAGTAGCTGGAATTACAGGCATGTGCTCCCACACCCAGCTGATTTTTTGATTTATTGTAGAGGTGAGGTCTCGCTGCCCAGGCGGGTCTCGATCCCGCGGGCTCAGGCAATCCACTTACCTCAGCCTCCCAAGGGCGCAGGATTACAGGTTGAGCCACCGGGCCCGGCTAAAGTTTACTTTTATATGATGTACAGTCATCCTGTTATTATACTTACTGTGTAGAGTTAATTTTAAAGGAAGCAAAATTGCTAAAATCCAATTTTATGAACTGTTGAAAATTATACTAATGCTCACTAAGAGGAGATTTAGAAGAATTTTTGAATATGTGCAAGACTATTACTGACAAACCAAAAAGTTCACAAATGGGAAGTCTGTGGCAAAAAGTGTCACCTGTGGATGTTGGTATGAAGTAAGACTAAATTCTGAGTGACACTAAAACTGCTTCTGTGTCTTGTTAAAGGCTACACACCTCTGGCCTAGCTGGCACCTACTCTTCATGAGTTGTTAGAATATCCAATGTTGCTGTAGCAATAACTACTCAATAACCATTGTACATAATAATTGCTCTTATCATCTAAATTCACCAATTTACTATGCAAGCTTAAATTCAAAGTAATACTACAGGAAAAATGGTAAGGTTTTCAAGTGCTTGAATAATATTGCCCTTGGTGAAAAACAATACTTTAGCAAATATCTTATGGAATCTATTCTTGCAAACAGGTGTTTCAAATTTTCAGTACTTTATATTTGACTTCTTCCATGGAATGTGTCTTCAGTTATTTTTTGCTATGGCATTGACAGAAGGGAAACATATTCTTACTATATTATTCAAATTCTCTTCCACTGCAGTTTGGCATTGCTGGCAATTCTTTGGTGTCAAATGATTTTAATTTTCTGATTGAAGCCTGATTTACTTTTGTGCGTTCACATTGGCCCACTGATTTTGGCCCTGGATGAAATATATACACATACAAATTCTATTACAAATAATGCTTTTAGACAATGCTGAAAGTTTTGTTTTTATATAATGCATTGTATTGTTAGTAGCTCAAACATCTGTTATGAGGCTGACATTGTGCTAGGCACAGGACTTACAAGTTATGGTCTATGCCTGAAGGATCTTGTGATCTAGCAGGGAGGGTGCAGAAATTGATAAAGTAAAATGAAGTATGTGAGACAGAGAAGTAGTACATAGGAGGTAACTGTAGGCTCTGTTTGGTTGTGGGGTTAGGGGTAAGACTGGAGGTGAGTTTTATAGAGACACTGGCAGCAGAATTTGAACCACAAGTGACTCCCACCAGGTACCTATTCAGGGACAGGATGGAAGCAGTGAACTGGACATGAAGGGCATAAAATGAGACATGAAATAGCACAGTAGTACTGTGACCTACAAGTGCCCTGACGGCACATGGACTTTGATTGAAGTCACTCCATGTTATGAAAGGGGTAGAGTTGGCGCAGAGCTGAGGATATGCTAATGACATTGAAGAGTTGAAGTATTCAGGCCAAGGTGTATAATGGCTCATAACATGGGTGTTGAAGGTACTCAGCTGGTGAGACATAGGATGGGGAGAAACACGGGTTGGTGAGGTTTCCTTTAAAATGAGATATAAGAAGCATTCAAAGGAGAGGCTGAAGATTTGTTGGAGATAGTTGTATCAAAACCAGATCCTAGTATACCCAGAAGATAGGAAGAATTAAATACTGGTCAGAATGGGTGATAGGGCAAGGAAGTAGGGGAACATAGACCAAGAAGGAAATCAGCATGTGAGAGAGATTACACTGGGACTTGTCTTTTGTCTTACATTTCAATAGACATTAATTAAGGACTTTAAAATTGAGGCCATTAATTGAGGTGTGCAATGCACCGTGCTTACCCTTGGAAAACAAGAACTTATACGATAGGAAAGGAGCTACAGGGTATGAATATGGAAAGATAAACAGCCCATATCTCTGTGATGTTTCTCTACAAGATGGTAAGCCCTCAAAGAGCAGCCCTTTCAGATCTTAATACGTATTCACCAATTGAACAAGTGAATATAATCTACCTTCTTCATTAAGAATTCCTATTCCTTATATTGTCCACTAATTAAAATATGGTACTAGCACATGCAGCAATTCTTTGTTTCAAGTAATGATGGTGGTATGGGAATGCTCATGAAATGGTTTTAAAGTAAAAAAAAGGCTTTAAAAATTATATGTATAATAAGATCCCAATTTATGAGTGTGTGTGTGTGTGCACGCGCGTGTGTGTGAATGACAGAGAGAGAGAGAGAGAGAGAGAGAGAGAGACAGAGAGAGAGAGACAGAGAGAGCGAGAGAGAGAGAGAGAAGGAGAGAGAAGGAGAGAGTTGTCAAAATATTAGTGGTGACTGTCTCTGGATCATGAGATTAAAAAGGACATTTATCTTCTTCATCTTCCAAGTTTTCTAAAATACATATGCATTATATAACTAACATACAATAAAATGTTTTAAATTATTTTCTCTAAAATTATTATTAGTCTACCTTTAACTTACATGACATTTACATTGAAATATAAAATCCTAGTAGGCTTTCTCCTTTCAAAAGTCACTTTCTGGCTGTTCTCCCTTTTTTGTCACTGTTTCTTCTTATGAGTTCCTTTTTGATCTTCATTTCTTGCTCTGTGCTGCTCAGAGAGATGGTTTAACCATCTTGGTTCACTGATGAACAAAATCCTCCCCCCTCCACCTAAGGCAAACATTTTTATCTTTGTATTCTCTCTTTGTGTCACTGTGCACAGTGTTGAGTTTTTTTGTTTATATCCTTATGGTTGCCATTTTCCATTCCAGTGCCCTTTCAATCTTATTTTGTTATTATCGATTATATTCTTTTTTTCTGGTGGAGTGCTTATTCTAAAACACATCTGCAAACCATTCATAGCTGTGCTTGGATACAGCTGAACATTTTATTGAATGTGAGTATTAAGACTATATTCCTTTGATATCTATAGGTTTCTCTTTGTAGTCTCTTTGTAAGCAAGGGCAACATTTATATGAAAAAATGTCATCCAAAAAGTCATGTACATAAGTAGTAACTGTTCAATGTCTGACTATGATTGTTGTCTTCTAAGGTAATTTCAGAAGGTAGAAATAAATGTCAAACATGTCTACTTTTCCTTTTTCCCTACCTTCCTCCTTCCTTCTTTCTTCCCTTCCTTCCTCACCTGACTGTATCTGTTCAGCTTCCATAACTCTCTGCTCTAGCCCTTACCCATGATTACACCTTACCAGTAGTGTAATTATTTAACTGTATCTTCTCATTGGACTATAAGCAACTTGAGGGAACAGTCCATATCGCATTCATACCTTAAGCTGTCTCATTGGCTCACATTTTCCCTTACATGTAATTGGTTATCAACAAATATAAAAATATATTTTACATCTAATTAAAAGTGATTTCATAACCTTAGCAAGATGAAGATGATTCTGTGAAATATGTTAAATAATTATGCTCTGAGAAACAAGCATCCATTAGAGAAATAGAGGGAGTTTTAAGACAAAAGATAAAAACATATTTTGTAGACTGTAGGAGTAATTACATACTGTAATAGATCACTAGTGAAGGAAGTAAAATCTCCATCCCTGAAGAGACTTAAAAAGTGGGCAGAGAAAACATCTGTGAGAATGGCTGAAGCATTAAACCTGTCTTGAGGCAAGTAGATAGGCAGAATGATCACAAATGGTTCTGTGATCCTTTGATTACTTGGCGTGGAGAAGAGAAGACTGAGGGGAGACATTAAAACTATTTCAAATATGGAAAACAGCTATTATCGCTTTCCAGAGAAAAGCAAGTTGAAGGAGCTTAACCTCAAGTCTTAGAGATTTAAGTTAGATTTTATAGCTAAAGGTTTAAAGTCAGAGGTTGTGAAAATCTTATGGAGATCTGTAAAATAAACGATATTGATTTTTTTGTGTGTAAAATGTGGAAAGTCAAATCCATGATTCTGTTACAGTAAAAAATATATTTTTTATAATACTCAGAATAGAGAGAATTATTCCAATACATTATGTTGAGTGTGGAGCATTCTCTTGGAAAAGGTAAATTTCTAAAAGTAGTATTTTAAAGCACCAAGCATTATCACTGTTTCATGGATGGGAGAGTAGAACTTTGATAATAGTTGTGAAAGTTCTTTCCATTCTGGTGTTGTGCTAGTAAATCAGTAGCCAAAGGGTGAACAGGAGTTTTGGCAGAGCTTTACTCTGCTGGATCAGTCTTTTTTTTGGTCTCCTGAAACTTTTCTCAGTGAAAATGTAGAAGAATTGGGGGACTGGGTGGGGGATTACAAAAATCTTATTGCTGAAAAGGGAACCAAAATACTGTACCTATTTTTAAAAAATTCAATAGGTATTTAATTGTAATTTTAGCATTCAGCCACACGATGTCACAATTGGATCTTTGATTTTCACAGTGTGTTTCTCTCAACAGAGGAAGGCATTTTCGAAGCTGGAGCAGAGAGGTCTGAATCACGAGGGGCCGCAGAAGTCCAAGAAGAAGAAGATACTCAGGTTGAGGTTGCAGTCGATCAGGTAATCTTCATGCCTTTAAAAATATGTATAAGCAAATTATTATTGTTTTTCTTTCAAGTTTTGTGTCATCTCCTACATAGTGTTCCTGTACCTATGTTAGTTAAACATAGAACCCTCTCAGGTGCTATGTGGCTAGTCAACCTTAAAAACAAAACAAAACACCCTTTCATTTTTCTGTATTCCTATGAAGAATAGCCATTTGGACTGAGTCTTTATTTTTCTTTACATAGAAAATGGTATATCTTTAATAAATAGCATTGAAAAACAAGATGGGATGGGGTTAGTTATGAGATACAGAAAAGGAGAAAGCTTGATGCAAACATGAGTACCGGCTTGGGATTTTTATCTAGAAAAAAAGTCCTTCTCCATTTAGAAAAGCATTTTTAAAATTAAATATGTCATGATATTTTCTACTTTAGGATTCTTGAAATTGTTGTAGTTAGAATTTGTTTTTCATAAAGGACTTACCTGTATAAATGCAACTCACATATTTGCTATGTGTGTATTGATTTTCTTTCATAGGCTAGTGGGACACTGTACTTTTAGGGGTGTATGCGTGTGTGTGTGTACACATTCACACACACTTAAAGAAGGGACTGGATAGTGTTAATTTTGACTAAATAAAGCAAGCAATAAAAGTCAGTTGTGCTTTTTAATAGAATTCAATAAGCTTTTTTACAATTCTAAGTGGAGGACTGGAGTTTAGTTGAAGTAAGGAAAACGATCATTCTGTACTCAGGGGTCTGGAGAGAAGTCACTAGGGATTGCCACTTGTCCTCTGACTACTATGTGATATTTCCTTTTCTAAAAGCAAATTTCATAATCCAGAAAATTCTATAGATGATCTTCTCAATTGTACTTGTCTTAACTGTGCAGCACCAAAATTGCTGCTTGATTATTCCACAGGCATTTTCTATAAGTGTCGGCTTCCTGATGAAAAGCCTAACGTGCTAAAAATCATGCATATTTCAAAAAACCAATTTATTATCCAAGATTAGCTATAACTAATAATTTTTCACAAACTCCAGTTATAGGTATTTTTTCCTGAGGGAAAATGGAATTTTAAGACTTCTGTGAAGCTGTAATTAAATATAATATTCTAAGACAAAGAAGAGTAATCATCATGTATATACAACACCTAATCGCTGCAGAAACTGACTAATTTGTATTCCAACGTTAAAATGCCAACTATTAAGAGAAAATTGTACCATTATCAACAAAAGAGAAGTCTCTCAATTAATCACTTATTTAACAACTTGCAAATCTGTGAGGGATATTTCTTTGCTTGTAAGTTTGATGATCATAAGGAAGGCGAGTTGGGAGTGAGAGTTGATCTCTGGTAATATTCGAGAAGCCTTAGATACATGTCTGCAGAGTTTGATTTCTGATTTGACTTCTGAGTACTGGGTTATTAAGATTTAAGAAACAGATTGGCAAAAGCTGGGCAATGTCAACAAACTGATGTCAGCTTGAGGGGAATAAAGCCAGATAACAAAAGGTCAGAATCACTCTCCTTTTTGACTCCTTTGGTCACAGCATTGGGATTTAGTTCATTTGTTTGGGATGAGGTACTTATGAAGTCAGGTTTTAGAGCCATTCTCTCTATGGTCTGGTGACCTTTGCTTTACATCTTAAGCAGAAATGTTATAAATATCATGAAAAACTAAGTGAGAGTGTGGAGAAATTAGCTTAAAGCCTATTAACTTCATTATAGTAAGAACAACTCTGAGAACATGCCCCATTGGTGACCTGCATTAAACAATAGCTCCTTTTTGGTAAGTACATATTGAGTGCCCGGCACTGGACTAGGCATTTTTATCTCATATAATTGTGAATACAGTCCTGTAAGATAGAGATTTCATCACACACACAAACACTCACAGGGTGAAAGAGAGAGAGAAGTGAGCTCATGGAGGTGAAATAACTTGTACAGGGCTGGACCATTAAGTGTAGAGAAAAAGGGACTTGAATGCAGTTTAACTTCAAAGTAGAAGACTGATTTGGGGGTAAAGTATTAAGTGAAAAAAAGAAAAGCTAATTATTAACCCAAGGAAGAAAAATAATCATAAATAAGAAAGGAAATGCAGTCATAGTATACTACTTGACTCTGTTAAACTATAAAAGATATCTACATACAGTAACTCTCTCAGTCCATTAGCTCGTTAATGTCTTTGGACTGGTTTCCTGTCATCTAAATGACCTAGGCTTAATTTTAACCAAAGGACTGTGAAGAAATTTTGTGTGTGTGTGTGTGTGTGTGTGTGTGTGTGTGTGTGTGTGCACGCGCATGCACGCGCGCACGTATCATGTGCAAGTTGGTGAAATAATTTTACCATTCCTGAAAAGCAGATTAAGTTTTAGAAGTCAATACCCAGATCTCTGTTGGGAGGTCATTCTCCTTGAATTTCTTGTGTTCCTGCAATCAGAAATAGTGGGCAGAGGCACTGCCGGCCTTTATTCTAGAGTCTTTTCAAGGATATTTGTATAATGAATGACCTTGAAAGATAGCAAGGGTGACTTCCTCTGGAACAATCATTCTCCGCTGGAGGTGACTTTGCCTCCAAGAGGATATTTGGCAAATTCTGGGGCTACTTTTGATGGTCATAACTGGAGGAATGCTCATGGATCTAGCAGATGTGGCCAGGGTTGTTGCTAAATATCTTGTTATGCACATGACAATCCTCACAACAAAAATTAACCATCCCAAAATGTCAATAGTGCTGAGATTGGGAAACTGTGCTCTGGTATGTTTATTGTTCAGTATAATAAAGATAATGTCTCCCTATGATACAAATATCAGGCAAGTTTACAGTCCATTATAAAATAGTTAATGGTGTTGAATTGTACACCTAAGAACACAAAAACTAAATATATTTTGTACATAAATTTTGTTTAATGTATACTTTACCATAATAAAAACATTTAAAAAAAAGATTTAGGTTCCCTAAACTTGAGGTTCTTTCCCTGAAAGGCAAACCACTGTGTGTATCATCCCCTTCTCAATGTGTGAATGGGTTCTTGGGTACACATGCTGTGAGCAATAAAGTTCTTTGTCTTTGTCCCAGTAGTCACATGTCTTCTGCCAGCACTCATGAAACTGTGGCAGGCTAGCATGTTCTCTTGCTAGTAGAGTACAACTTCAGATCTTTCTTAGTTCTTGCTAACCTCGCCAGTGCCATCTAGCATGTATGTTTGTGTGTGTGTATATGCAGATGTATTTGTATATGTGTGTTATAGGGCATCGTGGACTAATGCCAGTTAAGAAAGAGTATGAGCTCTGTCCCAAGATCCAGACTCTTTTTATTAGAAACAAATTCTTCTTCATGATGGACCTAGTACTACTTCCAGACTTAGTGGGAAACTGAAGAACGTTCACGTCCTTTCATTTAGGGGGAGGCCCAGAACAAATCCTCTTCTGTAGGGGGAAGTTTAGGTCTAATAATGGTAAGGTACTCTTTTAAAAATTGCTTGTTTTTTGTATGGGCATTCCAAATCAATCTGGGTCTGACCATCAGCAATGGAGCAAGTATCTAATTAGCCAATACCTGTGATTGTGCCCTGGCACTGATGACCCATATGTCAATATGTTCCATTTATAAAATAATGCTTTCCAAACTCAGGAGGCAAGAAATGAGCCTGCTTCATGTGAGGTAAGTAAACTGCCCCTAGTATTTAAAGATAAGACAAGAGAATCCACCATCTCAGAAACACAGACAAGCAAATAACTATGCAATTACCAAATAAACTATTGTATTTTGGATTTTGTTCCATTGGACTGTAGAGAGCAGAATATGGGGATAATAACTTTAGAGTGGTTTTGGATAGTTTTACTGCTTTTCCCACCAGTTAGTTTGCAGTTGGTTTTGAGTAGTAAAATGATGACAATTGCAAAAATATTTTTATGCTAAATGCTTTCATTAAATAGCATTTAAGTCAGCATTATGAACATTGGAGCACTGATTTTTTTAATTGGAGGCTTCTATATAGACTATTTTCTTATGTATTTATTTTGAATTTATTTTTAACTCAAAGTTATATATATATATAATATTTAAAAAAGTCAGTCAGTTCAACAAAGATTATGGCAAAAATAGCCACCACCTGCCCTACTACTGCTCACTTTAGTTCCTGTTCCACAGAGGTAACTGACTTGAAACTAGTTTAGCTATTTCTCATGGAATGCAATGCTGTGTTTTTAACCCCTTCCCCCATTTTAATACCTCTGAAGTCCTTGAGTATTACAAATGATGGCATGTCATAATTAATTGGAACTTAATTTTTTATTTTTAGATGTACATCAAATAATGAAGATCCTTTTAATTGGTGACATCTCAAATTTGATAAAATAAATCTCTTGGTATTTATTTATTTATTCATTCATTTATTTTTAAACCTTACTTAAAAGAGAATAGCAAATTTTATTATATATTGTAGCGGGAACTGGCCATAGAGAGAGACAAAATACCGAGGCATCTTAGAAAGCAGCATTTATTTGAGTCTTTTTTAGCTCCCAGATAAAAAAGACTCAAGTACACACACACACATTTGTTCAATCTGCTGTGTTTACCCAGAAATCACTTTCACACTAATCCATCAGAAGGAAACTAAGCTGTCTTCATATCCAAAGGTTGAGCCAGTTTTTAAATTTAGATATTATTTATTGACCTTTTTGTAATGACTATGGAAGATGATTATTTAGATTTCTTACCCCTCACTCCCAACAAAAATAAGATCACTTGCCCACAAGCACACACATATGCCTCTCCCCCTTTTTTTCTTTCCACTATCACTTTATATATTTAATCAGTACATTGTTCTCATTATGTAAGTGTTCTTCTTAGCAGAAACATTTAGTATACTTTAGATACATTTCCTTTCTTGTGCTGTCTCTTTTTCTCCTCCTCCCAGGGTTAGTGATTGCCTATTTTTTTCGCTTGCTTCGTTTCTATCTGTTACCAAGTCATCTCAACTCTGCCAGAACTATTAGTCTCCTCCAGATA